TCGTCGATTGATTTCCCCTGTTTACCTAGAACTCTACGCCTAACCTCCATGTTGCTCACCTTATTATGCCACTTTACACGGGAAATAGAACGCAGGCACCTATGATCAAAGACAGCTAGTCTTTTCATGTCTTCCACTCTCAGTGGCCAGGTCTCACAACCATAAAGGAGGACGGAGCGGACTGATGAGCAGTACACCCGCCCTTTGGTCGATAGTCGAACATCTCGTCTACGCCAGAGTCGGCGTAAACTAACAAATGCGAAACGAGCCCCTTGTATTCGTGCTGAGATTTCGTCAGAGATCAGCCCGTTGGGGCTGATGGTACTTCCCAAATAAGTGAAGCGGTCAACGTGCTCTACCACTTCACTTCCTATTTTTAAACTAGGCGTCGATGTAGTCCAGTCCTGTAACATCATCTTGCATTTGGCGGGAGCGAATCGCATGCCAAACATTCGTAGATTGCGGCTCAAGGTGTTTAGAAGACTCTGCATTTCGTCAGCGTCTTCGCCTAGAAGGACTATATCGTCTGCATATTCCAAGTCAACGAGATTATTCCCCGGTAGCAAGTCAATCCCTGAGTCGCTGAAGTCACCTAGGGTTAAGTCCATTAACACATCTATGATGAAGTTGAATAGAAAAGGAGATAATGGGCATCCTTGACGGACACCACTGGTCGTCATCAGTTCAGATGACAGCTCGCCGTAAGCCCTCACCTGGCTGTATGAGTACGAGTAGAGTGCCTTAATCAGTGCAATATATTTTCTTGGAATTCCCTTTACAGCCAAGCATCTCCAGAGAACTTCCCGATCGACAGAGTCGAATGCTGCCTTTAGGTCAAGAAATATAATGACTGTTGGACGCCGGTAGGAATGCCTATGTTCTAGAATCTGTCGGAGGGTGAAGATATGATCAATACACCCTCTTCCTGGTCTAAAGCCTGCCTGGCTCTCTCGTGTTTGTGCTTCCCGAGCACCACTCAGTCTACGCATGATTATTGAGCCTAAGACTTTAGATACTATATTAGTCAAGCTAATCCCTCTGTGATTATCACAGGAAGACTTGTCTCCCTTCTTGTATATGGGGATAATCAGTGACTTACACCAACCCGATGGGACTTCTTCTGATTCCCAGACGCTGCCTAGTACCTCAGTTAATCCGGACAGTAAGCTGTCTCCACCGTACTTAAATACCTCTGGAGTCATTCCATCAGGTCCCGCTGCTTTGCCTAGTTTCAGATTGGTGACAGCTTTAGTAACCTCAGTTAGTGACGGAGGACCTGTGTCTATATCCCATTCAGGGAGGTGTTGGATGCTCGGAAGGTTGAGCGTGGCTGTGGGCAAATTAAACTGCTCCTCATAATGCTCTTTCCAACGATCCAGTCGTCTATCCTGGAGCTAATTATAGTGCCATTTTTTTCCGAGATTGTCTCACTAATGATTTGTCTTCTCCCACCCGTTTCCCTGATGAGTCCAAAGAGTTGCCTGGTGTTGCCTATCCTCAAGCTTTCTCCATCTCTTTGGCTTTTGTCGCCCACCACTGTTCACGGTCCTTGCGGAGACTTTTCGTAAGTTTCCTCTTGTGCAGCTTTCGCTCCTCATTGAATTCGGAGCTCGCCGGAATAAGTCTTCTAGCATCTATCAGTTCGGATGAGGCGGTGGAGATCCAGTGGTTTTTACTCACCTTTGGGTTTACCTTATTCACAGCTTTTACAGCTGTATCTATGGCTGCCTGGATATTTTTCCAAGCTTCTTCAGGGTGAGCACAGCTGTCGAACACAGATATGTGTTTAGCTAGTTCTTCCTGAAATACGGATTTAGTTTCCTGATCGAGCTGGGGACGTGATGGTTTTACCGCCAGCTGTTTCCTACGTCCGTTCAGTCGTAAGCACACCCGAGCGCGGACCAGTGCATGGTCGGTATCTACGCACGTGTTCCAGAAGGAGCGACAATCTCCTACCGACCCACGCCAACGATAGCTTATTGCTATGTGGTCTATTTGTGTCCAGCGTTGGTTTGATGAAGGGGGTCTCCAAGTCAAACAGTGTCTCTCCTTGTGTTTAAAGTTAGTGCTTACAAGAAACAAATGATTATCAGAGCAGAACTGTAGGAGACGGTCACCGTTGTCGGTTCGCTGGCACGGAGCTCCATAGGTGCCACCGACATCCTTCTCAGATTGACACAATTTCCCTACTTGAGCGTTAAAGTCACCAGCTAGAACGACTATGTCTGAGCGTTTAGCCTTTCCACCAAACTAGACAGCTTTTGGTAGAACTCATCCTTCGTTTCATCTGAACTGCAGTCAGTGGGGGCGTAGGCGGAGATTACGAAAAGGCATCGGCGAGTAGTGCAGTCCTTCCTCCTTCTTACTGATCCGTTCAGGCGGACAGCACACATTCGGCTATCTACCGGGATCCAGTCAAGCAATGTCTTTTCTGCCCTAGTACTCAAAGCTATCCCTACGCCAGCTAATCCTCGTGAACTAGCTGTGGCATCTCCTGACACCCTCAAGGTGAATTTTGCAGATTCAACCTGTTGGCCAGGTGGGGTTAGGTGAATAACCACACTTGGGTCTTGTATGCGTGTTTCTGAAACACAGCATACATCAATGGCTCGTGATGCCAGGGTCTTGGCTAGTGATGCTTGTTGTCCTATTTGGCAAAGTGTCCTAACATTAAGAGCTCCTATATGAAATTGGTGGCGCGGCTTTAAGAGGCTGTCGGTGGTGGTTTTTTGGCTTCCATCGTTTTTAGTGGACGCAGAGTGGAGAGGAAGTGGAGAGCTATCAAGTCGAGGAGTTGCATCAGTGGAAGGAAGGCAAGATGATAGAGATGAAGATGAAGACAAAGATGAGTGAGTAATAGAGAGGTTTCGTGTGCATTTCGGATTGTGAGGGCGATTGTTACTTCCCGGCTGCCCACACCGTGGAAGTTGGTTGCGTGACCGCAGAGCCCAGGGGACAACTGCTTGAGGCCGGTCACACGCGGCCTGTTTTTGTTCGTTCTTTTTTGTTTGGTGTGTCTCAGTAGCAGATTTATCACTCCCGCCCTGTGACACGGCAGCAGGAAGCGCGGTCGTTGTTAATCCGGGCCACGGCCGATCCGGCATGAAATTTTGTAATTTTGTATTGGACATGATGTTGGATTGGGTAGCTGCTTTTTGTTTAACCGCTATCCAAACAACCTGCCTGGCATGGTAGAACCTCAAGAGACATAAGTCTCAGCCAGTATAGCTTGATTAGGTCATTGCGGTGTTCAAGCCCGACCACCACGTCAAGGTAGCAGCTTTCGGTCGGGTATCTTATTCTACACCATGATCTTAAATACTTTCCCACTTGATTGTTTCTATTTCCTAGTAATTTGTTACTATCACTCTTAGATACTCCTTCTCTGCATTTTTACTAGTTATTCTTTACTCATATTCACACTCGTCAATCAAGTGAACACTAAACTACCTCTACCTGGTTTCATATTGAATAACAATTTCCATCTTATTGAATTTAAAACCCTTCACCTCACTGCACATAATGTCGTTAAATAGTATTAACCGCTGTTTGTCGATAAAAAGAAGCGTTTAAATCCAAGTCGCATATGCAGGAAAATAAAAACAAGGTGTCATCGGCGCAATTCGATGTGTATAGTCAAATATTATTCCCATCACGATTTCAACTAATCCCTTTTAATGGATTTATAATAAACCTGTAGGCTATGGAGGATTTGATGTGACCGGAAAGTTAGTTTTAAACGTCTTACTTCCTTTACAAAGTGAAACGCAACAGCTACACACAACAGAATGTTTGAAAGAGCAAAAAACAAAAAAAACTATTCACATTATCTCACTTGTAAGGTGGTGATTTTCTGCCCGTAATTTGACTCTCACTAGAATCAGAAATTTCTAAACCACTTAGAGCATCAGTAAGTCTGTCTAAAGGAGCCACAGCTGTCAATCTTTTTTGTCCTTTTGACCATGCCTCAACAGCAGCTGGAGTAGAGAATTCCATATCAAAGAAACTTGACTGATCATTTCTTATATGTTCAGGTGAAGCATCATACGTAGCTAACTCTGCTTGTAAACGTTGTATTATCGAGGGTTTCCCCGATGCAAACAACGAAAGAATATTCATAGAAGAACCTAAGCGATAATGAATGACACCAGCCAATTCAACGGCTAAGTTACGCACCTTTCGTGAAGAAGATGCAAGTCCGAATCTTACAATTCCTATAGTCACTAGATGGTCAAAACTGTAAATAAATGAAAAATATAAGCATTAATTGATCCCAAAGACCATCTCACTACAAAACAAATCAACAATGATAGGGGATGCATTATTTAGCCATATACAAGTGATGTACAAGGCAGTAGTATTAAACAGACCAGTAGTCCAACTGCTTTCCTTCAGTTCAACCAATAGGTATGCAGAACCCAGTAACAGATGAAATCATCTAAACACAGTAAACTGATCAAACAACAACACCTCAAAAGGTTGTGTTTAGTAAGGACTTTTTCTTCAATGAATATATAGTTATCGTCAGTGTTAAGTGTCTTATTTCCTCTTTGTCTTTTACGCGACGATAAAAATAAATAACACCACATGACCTTAGCGTCATAGTCACAAGGTTTTTTAACAGTCCTTACTAAACACAACCTTTTGAGGTGTTGTTGTTTGATCAGTTTACTGTGTTTAGATGATTTCATCTGTTACTGGGTTCTGCATACCTAGTGGTTGAACTGAAGGAAAGCAGTTGGACTACTGGTCTGTTTAATACTACTGCCTTGTACATCACTTGTATATGGCTGAATAATGCATCCCCTATCATTGTTGATTTGTTTTGTAGTGAGATGGTCTTTGGGATCAATTAATGCTTATATTTTTCATTTATTTACAGTTTTGACCATCTAGTGACTATAGGAATTGTAAGATTCGGACTTGCATCTTCTTCACGAAAGGTGCGTAACTTAGCCGTTGAATTGGCTGGTGTCATTCATTATCGCTTAGGTTCTTCTATGAATATTCTTTCGTTGTTTGCATCGGGGAAACCCTCGATAATACAACGTTTACAAGCAGAGTTAGCTACGTATGATGCTTCACCTGAACATATAAGAAATGATCAGTCAAGTTTCTTTGATATGGAATTCTCTACTCCAGCTGCTGTTGAGGCATGGTCAAAAGGACAAAAAAGATTGACAGCTGTGGCTCCTTTAGACAGACTTACTGATGCTCTAAGTGGTTTAGAAATTTCTGATTCTAGTGAGAGTCAAATTACGGGCAGAAAATCACCACCTTACAAGTGAGATAATGTGAATAGTTTTTTTTGTTTTTTGCTCTTTCAAACATTCTGTTGTGTGTAGCTGTTGCGTTTCACTTTGTAAAGGAAGTAAGACGTTTAAAACTAACTTTCCGGTCACATCAAATCCTCCATAGCCTACAGGTTTATTATAAATCCATTAAAAGGGATTAGTTGAAATCGTGATGGGAATAATATTTGACTATACACATCGAATTGCGCCGATGACACCTTGTTTTTATTTTCCTGCATATGCGACTTGGATTTAAACGCTTCTTTTTATCGACAAACAGCGGTTAATACTATTTAACGACATTATGTGCAGTGAGGTGAAGGGTTTTAAATTCAATAAGATGGAAATTGTTATTCAATATGAAACCAGGTAGGGGTAGTTTAGTGTTCACTTGATTGACGAGTGTGAATATGAGTAAAGAATAACTAGTAAAAATGCAGAGAAGGAGTATCTAAGAGTGATAGTAACAAATTACTAGGAAATAGAAACAATCAAGTGGGAAAGTATTTAAGATCATGGTGTAGAATAAGATACCCGACCGAAAGCTGCTACCTTGACGTGGTGGTCGGGCTTGAACACCGCAATGACCTAATCAAGCTATACTGGCTGAGACTTATGTCTCTTGAGGTTCTACCATGCCAGGCAGGTTGTTTGGATAGCGGTTAAACAAAAAGCAGCTACCCAATCCAACATCATGTCCAATACAAAATTACAAAATTTCATGCCGGATCGGCCGTGGCCCGGATTAACAACGACCGCGCTTCCTGCTGCCGTGTCACAGGGCGGGAGTGATAAATCTGCTACTGAGACACACCAAACAAAAAAGAACGAACAAAAACAGGCCGCGTGTGACCGGCCTCAAGCAGTTGTCCCCTGGGCTCTGCGGTCACGCAACCAACTTCCACGGTGTGGGCAGCCGGGAAGTAACAATCGCCCTCACAATCCGAAATGCACACGAAACCTCTCTATTACTCACTCATCTTTGTCTTCATCTTCATCTCTATCATCTTGCCTTCCTTCCACTGATGCAACTCCTCGACTTGATAGCTCTCCACTTCCTCTCCACTCTGCGTCCACTAAAAACGATGGAAGCCAAAAAACCACCACCGACAGCCTCTTAAAGCCGCGCCACCAATTTCATATAGGAGCTCTTAATGTTAGGACACTTTGCCAAATAGGACAACAAGCATCACTAGCCAAGACCCTGGCATCACGAGCCATTGATGTATGCTGTGTTTCAGAAACACGCATACAAGACCCAAGTGTGGTTATTCACCTAACCCCACCTGGCCAACAGGTTGAATCTGCAAAATTCACCTTGAGGGTGTCAGGAGATGCCACAGCTAGTTCACGAGGATTAGCTGGCGTAGGGATAGCTTTGAGTACTAGGGCAGAAAAGACATTGCTTGACTGGATCCCGGTAGATAGCCGAATGTGTGCTGTCCGCCTGAACGGATCAGTAAGAAGGAGGAAGGACTGCACTACTCGCCGATGCCTTTTCGTAATCTCCGCCTACGCCCCCACTGACTGCAGTTCAGATGAAACGAAGGATGAGTTCTACCAAAAGCTGTCTAGTTTGGTGGAAAGGCTAAACGCTCAGACATAGTCGTTCTAGCTGGTGACTTTAACGCTCAAGTAGGGAAATTGTGTCAATCTGAGAAGGATGTCGGTGGCACCTATGGAGCTCCGTGCCAGCGAACCGACAACGGTGACCGTCTCCTACAGTTCTGCTCTGATAATCATTTGTTTCTTGTAAGCACTAACTTTAAACACAAGGAGAGACACTGTTTGACTTGGAGACCCCCTTCATCAAACCAACGCTGGACACAAATAGACCACATAGCAATAAGCTATCGTTGGCGTGGGTCGGTAGGAGATTGTCGCTCCTTCTGGAACACGTGCGTAGATACCGACCATGCACTGGTCCGCGCTCGGGTGTGCTTACGACTGAACGGACGTAGGAAACAGCTGGCGGTAAAACCATCACGTCCCCAGCTCGATCAGGAAACTAAATCCGTATTTCAGGAAGAACTAGCTAAACACATATCTGTGTTCGACAGCTGTGCTCACCCTGAAGAAGCTTGGAAAAATATCCAGGCAGCCATAGATACAGCTGTAAAAGCTGTGAATAAGGTAAACCCAAAGGTGAGTAAAAACCACTGGATCTCCACCGCCTCATCCGAACTGATAGATGCTAGAAGACTTATTCCGGCGAGCTCCGAATTCAATGAGGAGCGAAAGCTGCACAAGAGGAAACTTACGAAAAGTCTCCGCAAGGACCGTGAACAGTGGTGGGCGACAAAAGCCAAAGAGATGGAGAAAGCTTGAGGATAGGCAACACCAGGCAACTCTTTGGACTCATCAGGGAAACGGGTGGGAGAAGACAAATCATTAGTGAGACAATCTCGGAAAAAAATGGCACTATAATTAGCTCCAGGATAGACGACTGGATCGTTGGAAAGAGCATTATGAGGAGCAGTTTAATTTGCCCACAGCCACGCTCAACCTTCCGAGCATCCAACACCTCCCTGAATGGGATATAGACACAGGTCCTCCGTCACTAACTGAGGTTACTAAAGCTGTCACCAATCTGAAACTAGGCAAAGCAGCGGGACCTGATGGAATGACTCCAGAGGTATTTAAGTACGGTGGAGACAGCTTACTGTCCGGATTAACTGAGGTACTAGGCAGCGTCTGGGAATCAGAAGAAGTCCCATCGGGTTGGTGTAAGTCACTGATTATCCCCATATACAAGAAGGGAGACAAGTCTTCCTGTGATAATCACAGAGGGATTAGCTTGACTAATATAGTATCTAAAGTCTTAGGCTCAATAATCATGCGTAGACTGAGTGGTGCTCGGGAAGCACAAACACGAGAGAGCCAGGCAGGCTTTAGACCAGGAAGAGGGTGTATTGATCATATCTTCACCCTCCGACAGATTCTAGAACATAGGCATTCCTACCGGCGTCCAACAGTCATTATATTTCTTGACCTAAAGGCAGCATTCGACTCTGTCGATCGGGAAGTTCTCTGGAGATGCTTGGCTGTAAAGGGAATTCCAAGAAAATATATTGCACTGATTAAGGCACTCTATTCGTACTCATACAGCCAGGTGAGGGCTTACGGCGAGCTGTCATCTGAACTGATGACGACCAGTGGTGTCCGTCAAGGATGCCCATTATCTCCTTTTCTATTCAACTTCATCATAGATGTGTTAATGGACTTAACCCTAGGTGACTTCAGCGACTCAGGGATTGACTTGCTACCGGGGAATAATCTCGTTGACTTGGAATATGCAGACGATATAGTCCTTCTAGGCGAAGACGCTGACGAAATGCAGAGTCTTCTAAACACCTTGAGCCGCAATCTACGAATGTTTGGCATGCGATTCGCTCCCGCCAAATGCAAGATGATGTTACAGGACTGGACTACATCGACGCCTAGTTTAAAAATAGGAAGTGAAGTGGTAGAGCACGTTGACCGCTTCACTTATTTGGGAAGTACCATCAGCCCCAACGGGCTGATCTCTGACGAAATCTCAGCACGAATACAAGGGGCTCGTTTCGCATTTGTTAGTTTACGCCGACTCTGGCGTAGACGAGATGTTCGACTATCGACCAAAGGGCGGGTGTACTGCTCATCAGTCCGCTCCGTCCTCCTTTATGGTTGTGAGACCTGGCCACTGAGAGTGGAAGACATGAAAAGACTAGCTGTCTTTGATCATAGGTGCCTGCGTTCTATTTCCCGTGTAAAGTGGCATAATAAGGTGAGCAACATGGAGGTTAGGCGTAGAGTTCTAGGTAAACAGGGGAAATCAATCGACGAAGTCGTGAAGCTACAAAGACTGAGATGGTTAGGACATGTGTTACGTATGCCAAGCCATCGCCTCCCTCGACGAGCAATGTTAGCGGATATAGGGTCAGGCTGGAAAAAAGCTAGCGGCGGTCAAACAAAAACTTGGCATCAGTCAATGAAATCCACAACAGTTGGTCTAAGCCACGTAGAAAGGTGTAGACTTCCAGGCTGGGGTCCTCGGGACGGTAAAAATCTATGGTTGGAAACAATTGGTGACATGGCTCAAAATCGTTCTCAGTGGCGCAGATGCATCCACTCCCTGTGACTTATGATCTTCAATGAAACTGTTTTGTATTTCTTTATTACTCCTTTGTCTCACACCTCTGCTCACTGTTTCTATTATGCTTTTCTTGTACTTTCTTCTCTTGCTTCGCGTGCTACACGGAATGTGGCGACTTGAACTTCCGCACATTTGTGCAAAGTTCTATGTCGAAAACAGACAGACAGACAGAATAAGATACTGAAGAAGGGTTTCCTAAACAGAGTCAGGGGTTTTATTAAGCAATCGCTAGCTCCTCTGCCATGCACAAGTGTTAAAGAGCCACTTCAGTTTTTGTTGACGAATTCACGTCTTCTCGCGGAATTAGTTATACTAAAGCTACACAAAATGCACGCCTTATGCATCTGTGAAAGTAATTGCTATTGGATAATTTTGAAATGTTGATGAGGAGGACCTGATTTCGAATCACTAATTGAAACGAATAACTGGTCACATAACATTTCTAACAACTGAGCAGGGATCCAGTCTTGCGACTTATTTTGCGATAATAACTTTGATAAAATATTTATTACTTCACAACGAACCTGAAAGTAGGAAGAGTGAAAAGTGATTTTAATCTTAGAAATTCCTAGCACCATTTATTATTATGTACAGTTAATAGTTGTTTCTTATCAGAGACAGTCTACGTCAGCATGGCTTATCACTACACACAGATTTTTTAGCCTTGTGAAAAATACTACAAACTCAATAGCACTATGCAGGTAATCTTAGGACGGCCACGTCGGTGGTTCACTGGTAGCATGCTCACTAACCATGCACGCTACCCGAGTTCGATTTCCTGCCGTCATATTCCTAAATCTCATTTAGCTACCAGTAAGTTCAGTAGTGAAGGGGAATAGTTAGAAGTGAGGCTAGCAAACCCATACGGTAAAATAAGACAAAACTGCCACCATGGAGAGTTCAAAGCTCAAGATTGAAGCGTGACGTATGATTCGGAATGTAAAGGAACGGAAAAACACGGTTGCTAGTTAAATACTGATAAAGAGAAGCAATTCAGATCTTATACGTTGCTTTTACATTTCCAATTACATGTATTTCTCATCATTTTAAAAGAAAAGAAACTAATGCTTTCAGTTTGGCCAAATTCGATACGCTCCGACTATTGTTTATTTGAATAGCAACATTAAAATTCAAAGAGCAGCTATTGATCAAATTGCATCAATGATTGTGTTTAATAATGATAATAATAATCTACTTTATTCCAAAAACAGTACTTATAATACAGAATGGAATTCTCAGCATTCGTCACAACACCTTGCATCTGATTTACTCAAAATATAAATAAAAATTAAAACAAAATTAACCGGAGGAATTTGTCTACGTTTACGAAATAAAGTCAAAAATATTCGAAGCACGAATCGAGAATATCAAATATAATAATAATAATAATAGTGGGTTTTTTTCAAACAGCATTGTCGATTCAGTGTGAAAATTTTAGCATGTTACTATAGAGTATGGAATCTAATGTTCTGTTGATATAGCAGCATGGTGAGGGGAAATACAAGGTTAACAGTGGTAACACAGCTTAAACGATGTTCACAATTATGAAAAATAAATAAAAACAAAAAATTGAGAGGATTATAAATATAAGAAATACAATAACAATCAAGTTTGGTACTGTTAGGGTAGAAGAAATGGTTTATTTAATAGTGCAGAAAAGGTTGGTTAGTTAGTTCATGCCTGATACTATTTTCATCACATAAAGTACGTGCATAAAGTCTTCTGAAAAGATTTCTTGCTTTACCTGAGGAGACACAAGGTTGGAGCTGCAGGTAAAGTAGATGCTCACAGCCTGACAAAAATCCTTTAGCAAATTTGTTGCATGACATCAAGTGCCTATCAGTGACAATGTCAACGATATGGCCCAATAGGATAGCTGCCACTGGTCCTACTGACAGTCTTCAGAGTTCTACGAAGTATGACATTGTTTTTTTAAGTAATCCAGGAAAGAATAAGCAGGGGTGAACAGTAAAAAGGAATAGGTAAAATATACGAATTGACAAACTGTAAGAGGAGGGGTTGGGTAATACCGGAGTGCCTTAACTACTCAATGTAAAATGTCAGACAAAATATTTTCTTCGAAATCGCTTAGACATGGGAAAACCAGGATAGGTCAGAAGAAAGAATTAATCCAGGATACTTAACTTCTGACTTGATTTCTATATCACTGTTATCAATTTTGCAACGGTCATAGGAACCAACGGCTTCATTTAACTTTTGTTTACATCGGAAACTGAAATTTGGAAGAATTTAGTTTAAGGCTGTTAGACGAAGACCATTTGCTAGCTCCTGACAGAAAGCTGTTCATCTTAATCCAGTCTAGCTGGGAGTAAACAGAGTTAAAGTTAATTAACAAGTGACAAAATAACAAATTTCAATGTCGATTTTGCCACAAGCCGACCACAGTGGACCAACGAATCACTACAAAACGCCAAGGAATGAAAAAAATGTAAATATGACTCAGAAAATAGTTTTTTCAAAAGATATTCTAAATAGGCCTCACCCATTTCTACTTTTAGCTGGAATCGCTTCAATTTGTTTTTATCCTGTGTGAGAATAATTAACATAAAAGCATTCACAACAAAACACTTGAAATAAAAAAGACTTACACGGAAGATGCTGTCTTTCACAGTACCACAGTTCAAAATGTACTGCAATAAATAATGCACATCAGGAAATCCTGGGGGACTAGAACGGATTCTGGAATGAATACGTTCAGCAACCTGTAGGCGAATCCTCCAAGTGGCACTAATTAACTGTTCTAATGGCACATTCTCTAAATATCCTCTAAAAATGATTGTTTTTTAGTCCGAATATTTGCAAAGGTTTCCCTACACCTCCTAATTAATGAAGTAGATGAGTAAAAACGGTGAGTGGTTGGATATTTTTCATGTTTGCTTAGAAATTTCTAGATACTCACTCACTCCTAATCTCGACCCTTAAGTGTCCGCTGTTTGGAGTACACAATGAATGAATCAGGTTTTAGGCAATGCCAAGTCATTTCATCGGCTTGGGGAGAGAGAAGACGGCTATACGTTGAACTGACAGAAAAGGCTCTAGAATATCAAGACTTTGCCTAACAAACTCGAAGATAATAAGATAAGTGAGCACCGAAAAGTTGGTAGACGATGCAGGCAGAGAAGACAGTATTTCAAATGGACACCGAAAAAATTGAGGTGATAAAGATATCTGACCAACCAATTACAAGTACCAATCATAATCACCAGGAGGAATGCAAAGAAACCGGATTTTTCCACTTACCTCGGCAGTATCATTGCAACCAGAGGCGGTACGGATAAGTATATCAGAGCCAGACAGGTTTAGGAAAGCAAGACAGGGGTTCATTACTTTAAAATCAGTTACGAGATCAATAACACTTAACACAAGAAACAAAATCAGAATTCTCACCACTAATGTCAATTTACTACCTTCACATGATTCACCGACCTGGCGTGTTACGAGGAGCATCTCCGACAGACTGCAGACTTTCATCGAAACCACGGCCAGAATGAGAGCATAATCAACAAGTAACTCTGGCATCAAACCAACCAAGAATCTATCACCTAACAAGTATACAAAAGGGAACGGAAATGGACTGGAGATACTCAGAGGACATCGTTGAGTAAGATCACGAGCAAGACCCTCGGGTGGACCACATATTCGGCATCCGAGAGTGAAAGTAGAAATGATCGTGTGAGGAGGAAATGAAATCTTTTGGCATTTGTGAAGCCAATAATGAAAAGACTGCAGTGAACAGAATGAAAATGAGACGTGCTGTTGAAGCGTTACCTTCCACTAGGAACCCGAATGAATAATAAGAATGAATTATCACCGTTGTCGGCTCGTTGATAGGTACTTTGAACATCCCCCCTGTGCTTCTGCTCAATATATCGTCAAAAATAATCTCTCCATAACTTGTTATCGAATTCTCTGTATCTAAAGCACAGATCACGGAAATTAAATGGATTCCGATTGAGCAAAACTTTCTCAAATAATTTACACAACAAAAACAGTTCTATATTAACTTCCTTTGGATTTTTCTACATATGCATAATTTGTATACAACTTGCTCTGCTCTGACAGCTTACACCGTAGCTGATCGGACGACAAATTCAAATCTTGAGGTGCACAATTCTCAGCTTTTGGTTGAACAACTCTTTTGTCTGCAGCTTTCTTTGTAACCACTGTTGACGGTTTTCTTGCTCCTGCATGTTGTAACGGCATAGACACCTCTGTAATACTGGGTGTTAATAACTCATTATTCTGTTTAACATTGCGTGAAGCCACCTCACAGACTTCTGAAATCGGTGTACTCGTCAATAAATGATTCTGTGTTTGAAATGTTGTCAGTTGTTTGCTTCCTCCGCTTAACTTATCCGCTATTCTAGGTGACGATTGGATGGCTGAATTTTAAGGAGAGATAGAAACAGGAAATATTTTTTACAAAACAAAAATGAGTTCCTAGTATAAAATATTTTGAAATTACTAACTCAAGTTCAAAACTTTTGGTTACTCATTTCTGAATTGCAATTTTCATTGACGAGAATATAAATGATGCTGCTGCTGATAATGAACTCCACGCATGTATACATAAAACAAAAATAAAAGATGATGCACCTGTTGGCTATCTGGATGCATATTCAGATTTAGGGTTTGGAAGCATTTGATTATTTTTAATGCAGATGTCGTCAAGGTGCAACATCCATTAAAAAATCATTGATCGAAGAACACTAAGGAGTAACAGACTGCTCTGGGACTCTTTAGCAAGACGTATCAATGGTCCCATCTATTTGGTCATTATTATTATTATTATTATTATTCACAGGCTTTATATTGGATGTCGTGATATTCTAGTGCGAAACTGTGGTGAATGGGGTTCACCGTGTAATGAGTGAAGAGACGGTACTGGAGATATGCTGCGAATCAGCAGAAGATAGAACTCATGGATCACTGAATTCCGTTTCAGTGACCAAGTGATAGCATGCATGCCCCACAGACTGACAATCCTGGGTGTGAGTCGCTGAAGACTCCTAAACTAAGATGAGACGACTGCCCAGTGTTTCATACCTTTCTCTAATTCTCCGAATGATACTGAACCATGATATAGTCTATATCGGATTTGTATTTACAAAAGTGATTCGAGTGGAGCCTGAGTGGGAAGTAAATTCAAATCCTACGCAACTCGAATTCGTGGCAACTGGAACTGCTGCACTTCGGTGCCGAATTCTATGGTGAATCCAGACAGACTAGATTTTATATACTGATAATGTCTGCACATACTCATCGAATTTGACATAAAGTCTGCAGTGATATACTTAGAGTTTAAAATGTTCTGTGAACTATACTTACAAAAACGTTAACGTACGACTAATGCCAAAGTCAGGATTATCTATCAACTTTTGTCGTTGCTTTTCTTGTTCAGTGGATGAACTTTTAGGTTTTACTGTTTTATTTAGTTTTTCTGAGTTTGTATGCTCATCTTCAATATTTTCAGTTGATATACTTTCACGCAAATGCAATAAAGCAATATCCAACTTGGAACGTCGTGATTCATTCAGTTTATTATCAATGATAGAAGAGAATTGTTGACTAGTAAAATCCAAAAAGATACAAATCGAAGCAAACATTCGAAAGCAAGCATCTCGACTTTTATTCTCAAAGAATTTTGCTCTATTAGATAGAATTGGTTTTACAATTTTTAACCGTTGATTCAATTGAAGCTCATACTTCCGTTTACTTGCACAGAAGAGATAAGTTAAGCAGATTTAACGTTTCAACTTTTTTTTACCACTGGAGTGTTCAAAGCAGTTTGTAGTTGTGTTAAGGCTATATCAAAAGGTATCTAAAAGTAAATTTTCACAAAGAGATAAACATGGTGAATATATGCATGCTTCTTAGTGAAATATTTTAAAAATACTTTCGTTAGAAAGGAAGAATAAAAGTGAGAGTAAATGACTACATACTATAACACATGAATCTCTTCAGCCTCCAGAAAAATCTCTTGTTCATATGATACCTCTGTAAATAAAACCAAAGGCAAATAAAACACATTCACAAAATATCTTCATCATTTCATTCTCAAACCAGTAATTTCAGCTGTTTGGCAATAGCACCATTTTGCCCTCAGACCCTCCAACAGACAGTCAACCACTTACATTATGACGATAAGGAAGGTTTAAGACGCATTCTAACAAATAAGTATCGTTATCATCCATTCATTACGTTACCAGTGGAAAATAAGGATTCAGTTGCAATCCGTTCTCTGCTATCAGTTTTAGTTGGCCTCATAACTCTCCACAGACTCTGGCTTCTTCGCCATATGATCTCCTACATATCACCCATCGACATTAAATCAACCACTTCTCATTCGTATTTCGAGCAAAAGACTGTAGTGTAATACCACTTGAAGTTATCCTCAGCTTACGTCTCACCCACCTGAATTCACTTCCATACATTTATCGATCAATAGCCTGTTAGTCAGCTCGCTGCCAGAATACTTGTTTCTTAACCTTCCTCGTCATCTGATCTTCAGTATCTAGGAGAGGCAAGTGTTAATGAAGGTCTGCAGCAGATGATTGAGAATATCTTGGTGATAAATGTGTCAGTTGACTCGACATTAGTGTTGAAAATTCGGATATTGCTCCTTGAACTGAGTATTGTGTACCTCCACACTGATTTTATATTAAGAATGTCTGTCCTCGTTTCCTGATCTAGATCGGCTTAGAGATTATCAATATTCTCAAATCGATGCTGTCCAGATCATCTAAGTGAATGAGATTACTTTCTTTAGATGCCTCCTGTCCATGATGAATGGTGCTAGTTATTGTTATTGGTTGGGTATCTTTATGCTCTGAATTACTTTTTTCGCTGCTACTACAGCCAACTCATTGGCTTTCGCATGTAAATCAAATCTTACTGCTTTCTACACTTCAAAAGCTTTGTTGAGCTTGCTGTTGTGAATTACTTGGCATGTGCCACGATCGCATAGCTAAAGAAAAAGGCTTACATTGGTTTCCGGCATTGCATTCCGTAGTGTTGAAGTAGATTTGAAATTACAATACAAATAAGTCTATTTCGTCCTGTATTGGCAGTTGACGAAACAATAACCTACTACAGGTACTTAAATAACATATTCATTTTATGCAGTGATCTGAGTCATTTAACAATATAATTTAACAATGTACATGAAAGCCTCTACCTCACAATACAACACGAAGATGGTAGCAGTTTCCACTTCCTGGGTATCCGTATGAAGAAAAGAAAACATGGAGTACTCAGAAAATTTGTCTTCACCTGAATTAGAACAGTCACCTATAAATGAAAGCTGGTGAAGACGCTGTTCTGAAGGGCAAAACGAAGATGTTCAGCAGATAAATCAGACAGTGAATTGCCATTACTAGAAATATGCTTAAAAGAAAATGGTTACAAAGTTTGACCAACAAATACAAGAAAGAATACAAAATCCAGACATCATTACAGTCAGCAAGAAACCGATTTTCATTCAACTTGACTTCAAAGGTGATGATCATATGACGATGAAAAATAAACGTTAATGTACAGCAATGACTAGGACGTATTCAGGAGCAAAACTAGCCTCTTTACTGCGAACATCTTGCTTGTTAGGACCTTCAAAAACTGACAAGCACCCTCCATATATTACCAACGACGATGTATGCCGACTGTAGGTGTAGTTACACTGACAGAACAGAAACAACGGCCTATATCAGATTTCTTGAAAATAAACTAAAGAAATTTCGACTAAATGGACCGAGAAGTTTGAACTTGTCAATTACTAAACACACCTAATAGATAGAGGACACCGAGCGGACACACTGACAGCATTCAAAATAGTTAACGGACAAAACAGTCCAAGTATTCTTCGGTTTTCTGAAGCTATCATCATAAGATGACTGAAAACTAACCTATGCGTTCCTAAGGAATCCATCGTGAGACTTCAGTTACCCTAATAACTCTCTCCTTACTAACTCTCTCTTCTGATTTCATCATTTTTTCAACCACCTCCTGTTTTTCTCTTGACTTTCATATTAGACTTGATTTTTCAACCTTATGAATTTTTAACTACTGCATTCTATTATCTCTCATTGCGTAATTATCACTAACTTATCACCAACCTAACAACAAAATTCATCTATTTCAATGAGAAACTTCTATTATAGAATATATATATATATACATATATATTATTCCTTCACGTTCGGAGTGGAACAGTGGGCTTCAAACTAAAGCTTTGAAGTTTTGCTAGCAGCGGTATTTGTTTTTACGGGCTGGCGTTACTAAACTCAATACCCAACCTTCCCTCTTCACCGGTCTTATTACCGGTCTGGAGAGGTTTAGGAGTGTGTCGGCCGGGGGATCGAACCCCATGTACATATATATATATATATATAATCTAGTACTTTCAGATAATTCTATCATCATCCTGTTTTGTTTCACTATGACTTTCTTACAACAATTCTTACTGAAGGACTAATTCATGATGATAAACAAAATACATGTCAAGTTGTATTTCCTAACTGCTTCTAATAAATAGCATACGTTATACGCAGCCGACAAGAACCGACAAAACAAAGTGGATCCATATAATTCTGTACAAATGCTTGTTCCATCTATATTCAAGTGATGTAACCAGCGAGTGTGAGAATAATCACATGGAGATTATTGAAGAAGTTCAGAAGTTTGATGATCAGAATTGAATACATCCGCTATTGAAAGCATCTAAGCATTAATTCATAGCAACATGAGCAACCGCACCACACTTCTATCTAGACAGTATGCCTGACTCCAGAACTACCTCCTACGTTCTACATAACATGAGCAATTGAAGAAAAACACCTAGGATCAAAAATCTGTAACCTTTCATGATTTCTTGTATCAAACATTTTGTATAAAACAGACCAGATCCCATGACGTAACAAGCGACATACACTGAGCAGGAATCCAAATTATGGCAACTTAAAAATCAATGAAAGGGACTAAAAAATAGAAATGACGGTTTAGATGGTGATGAATAAACTATATGAGTAAAAGAGAATGGGATAAGGAAACGAAGAATATAACAACGCCAAGTATAAAACAGGCAAACATCCAAGACGATGATGTGCTTTCTAAGTCATTGTTAAAGTGCAGGTATTACAGTCACAAATAAAACAGTACACTATTCACCACTAGAAATTATTCTATGAAACACAGCAAATTCAAGCTACATGCATCAAATCAACACTGCTTACTTGGAAAATAAACATATTACTAAGATTTGTTAAACCCAACTTAGTATTTCTCACTGATTGATTATATCGGACCAAAATGTTCGATCTCTGTTGACATGTCGGATCCTGGTACGGACGCTTCGACAACATCCGAGGAATAACATGTTATTTGGGGATACTGACTAGCATTGAAATCCTGGAGGCGCATTTCGTCTTATTCGGCAGTCGTCGGCTTGATGTGCCTGCAATCCCTCCCTAGTGACTGGTCGCGTTCCCACTGAGACTCCAACCCGGCACTCACTGTTTAAAATGCAAAAGAATTACGAACTAGGCCACTTAAACAAATAATAACTGATACCGGTTGCACAAGAGGTGGCTCCCGTAGCCCAAGTAGCTTAGTGAATAACGCTTTGACGTGTGAAACAGCCGGTGTTGTGTTTGGGTCTCAATAGGATCATCATCACTCTGGGGATTGCTAGCAGGTCCGACTGACGAGGCCCAGAAAGGTTCATCCAGGATTCTACCACCAGTCAATATTCGTTAAATAAAATAAATATTTAAAATTGCTTATAACTCACTATATCTATAATAGATTTTGTTGTAGAACGTAGGGCCTCAGAGACATGTGCTTTGTTGTCTTTGAGTTTCAACAAGCAAACAATCAGAGCCCATTCTGCATGACTGATAAAACCTGACTCGACTTATTCACGTAGAACACCAGCTGCCTGAATTACCAACATTGAATGTGTACCCGGTGATATCACCTGAACAAAAAAAGAAGGCAACGGACAAACAGTTAATTATTTAAAGGTTAAAAATGACTCTAACGAAGTGAAACAGACAGCTAGTACAATTAGGATTTTTTATGCTTATATTTAAAATTGGGAATTATTAAAAATAACTTACTAAACGGTAGATGCAGAATAACTGATTGACTGAGTTTCAACATTTAACCTTACACAGAAGTGCAACAGTTCAAGTGGCCACACTTCATGGTAGAGAAAAGAGATACAAGAGAACTGTAATGAGCAGAAATGTAGGGTATGAAAAAACCGGAGGATTTAATGTATCCCGGAGATAACAAAGAGTGAATGCATCTATACCACTGAGAATGCTTTTGCACCAACTAACCAACAGTCACCAGCCATCGCATTTTAGAAACCCGAGGACTCACTAGTATACACCTCTTCAAACATGACTAGCTCAAACCAACAGTCAAAGACTTCATGGATATTAATTTGAGGACTCCCAATTCTTTTCTAACCTAATCTGATATCACCTAGCATCCCCCAACGAGGATCGCAATGTCTCGGCTCGCATAACATGTGTTGTCGACACATCAATCGACGCAGCTTCATAGACTTATTGACTGACTTTCTCTCTTTACCTAGAGCTCAGTGCCCAGCTTCAATATCACCAAACACATGATGCTATTCAAGGCGGGAAATGGAAAAGGAACATCTGTAGTCAACGAGAAATATAGAATAAAACCACTTGCACACTTTCTCCTCTCGTTCTTATCTAGTGCGTAATTCAGGAAATATGTCTTCCTAACCACTCCTATTTACAACACCATGACGAACATCTATATGTCATCAATTCAAAAGTAAGAAACAAAACGTAATAGAAATGTCACTCAAATAACCGCTCGCGATTCAACGCATTTGGCAGTGAGCTACATCCATTGCGTGAGGACTATTTATACGACCTGGTTGCCCAAATCTCTGTAGGTGGAGTAGGGTTCGAACCCTGTTACCCAGAGTAGAAGTCGAGAGTGTAAACCAATGAGCAACGGCTCCAGGATTAATCCAGACATAATTATGGAATTTTACTGTACAACAATAATTTCATACAATGCAAAGACTTATAAAATGAATGATGAATGTTTCGTAGAGTTTACTTTTACACCTAGTCTAGAAATTAACAATATATTTTTAGAAGAGAATCTTTGAAAAATTAACACCGCAGAGCCTTTATTCGACCACCGAGTAATCCGATAAAACTAAAAAAGCCTGAAAAATCGTCAGCTACAGGTTTACATGCTAGAGAATCAGACAATATTGAAATCAACCAGAAAAATTCCCAAAACTGTATAGGATATTTCATATCAGAAGTACTTCGGATAAAATGGAATCCAAATTGTCTTGGATAGGAATGACGAATCGAGAGTTTCACCTGGTCCCCTTCCCCTCCTATGAATTGACAAAATCAACGTGAATATGATAAGCAATTTCATTAAGTAAACAAATGCTCTTACATACTTATCAAATCCAACAATCTACTCACGGTTTATTTTTACCGATTCACCCCCGATTGGTAACGTGAAAATTACCTTATGCTGATGACCTATGATTAAGTTATTGTATATAAGTTAGGATGTTGTAAATATATAATATAATATATATATATTAATATAACTGTATAACACTGTGTGATTTACCAAATAAAATCTTATCCATAATGGAGTTATACCCTACCACAGTGCCCAAGTTTTATACTTATATCAATGTTGTAAGTTACTTAGATAAAGATATTAGCTGTGTTAAATAGTGACTCGTCAGTAAGAGCAATATTGCTTCGTTAATTCACTCGTTGAGAAATACAAATCTTTTATAATAATGAACATATACCCAAGGCCCAAATTTTTCAAACCATTTAATATGCACTTGGTTTGAACACAAATATCCATCTTCATATGTTTCAATACTAAATTTAATTTTCGAGAAAGAATAATATTCTCAGTCCAAACAGCTAGTTTACAATCAAATTTTACAACCTAGACAATAAGTCGAATAGAACCTCACCAATCAAAAGTCCACATGATTATGAAACATAGATATTCCAGATTCCTCGTTAATAGGTCGATATCTTTCAATCAAAATATTCATACCATTATTATATAACTGTTACACGGGCTGATAATTCTGGTAATGAGGAAAGGTTGGGCATGAAGCTAGCAACCCCCCACACTGCTACAGAAACTTCAAGTCTCTAGCTTGAAGTCCTATGTTCCACTGGGAACGTGAAGGAAAAAAAACTCACTTACGGGGATAGTTTGTGTATGAACGCTTGTTCTGATTAACCGAAATCCTCCCATCTGTAACAGGATTACTAATCTATAGGCTACACTAATTGCCATTAGCATTATTGATTTTAAAATTTCGAGGGATAAGGATCTCTGTAACATGGCTAATGTTGTTCACACTAGTGCAGTCTTAAGCTATCTTCTAGATTCTGTTAGTGTTCATTTATCCTCACTTATTAATTCCCTGTAGATTTCAGTCTCATGACATTCTTCCCTATTCTCGTATCTGCTTTCAAGAAGTATGACAACTTGAATAGATGGACTTTTCTACAAAGTATTATGCTGTCAAGCTGGTTTAATAACATTTACTTTGTACCACTTTTTTGCTGGTTTTAATGAAAATAACATGTATCAACGTAAATACAACACAACAGCGAAAACTCTTACTTGGTATAGTCCTTCAGTCACCTGACTGACAAGTCCATTCGGTAAAGTCGAAGCTTTCAAATGATTACTGATAAGTTCTAAGGCATCTCTACGCTCCCACCATGAATTGGATTCCTACAAAATTGAACATTATAAGATAGATACAACAGGATCCAATGTTTCAAATTATTCTTCACATCGAACAACACTAATGAGATAAATTCTCCAGTTAGTGACGATACAACATATTACGAGCTTAAAATACGTCTTTTCGCTTGATTACGAGACACTTGATATTCAAAAGATTACGATATTGTCTTATTGTGAGCTCTAACGTGAATGGGATGTTAAGTCCAAGAGACGAGTGCCGAATTCAATAAATAAATCACCGATGTTTCAAAAAGTAACAAACCTTCGAATTATACTTATATTATACTTATATACTCACCATTTGGTGCAGAGTTTCTATAATCCTAATATGAATTTGGACAGGTTGATGACGAAACGATTTCATTTGGAGAACCACTGAAAACCAGGGGTAAATCTTGCAAGCAAACACTTGGAAATTATTCTAGTGCTCACTTGTGACGGACTATGGGATGAAGTTGCCTGAAATTTTAGCGCGAATTCGTGACCAGTGGAGTCCTCCAAGCTGTGTGTGAGGATAAGTACTCACCGATAACATTGGCTGGCGGTTGTCATATATCGCCGATCGGCAGAAGTTAGAATTGACTAAATGGTTTACAGGCTTGCTTTGTAACCTGGGGTTCCATGCCTGTTGGGGTCATGGGCATGTGCTGCTCGAGTCCGAGGCAAGGACGAAACAACTGTCCAGTACTAGACGGTTTCCAAAGTGAGGTTCTTTATCTGAAGTCAGTCAAAAATTCACACTATCATGACTACTGAGTAGGTGAATAAGACAGGAATATCCTCTACACATAAAACCATAAAGATCTCTTCATTATGTGGGGCTGAAGGTATCATAAGAATAAAAGCATTACAACTGAAATATTTACTATGAGAAGTGTTACAGCCCATGGTAAATAACGGATATTTAAGTTTATTTATCACCAAGTCAAATACTGTATATCAGTTAACCTTTAGAATGTTAGTTACACTAGTTACATCAGAATGCAACTGTGGTTTGAGCACGTCAATATCAACGACTTGGTAACAACTTCATACTGATGGCTGTCTCACCCAAAGCAGGGGTTGCTAAGTGCCTACATATGTATATATATATATCGACTAGAATTCTGACAACTAGCTAATATCTCTGCCGACTATTGCAGCTTCATTGCACTGAGTTGAAATATACTGCAGATTATCAAGTGGTTGTGAGCAGATAAAATCTTAGTCATACACAATTAGTTCGACTAACTCAAAAAACTCACTTCAAACTGAAGTATGCACTGAAGATGTCACCCAGTAGGGTGATGAAAGCTTCGCAAATCAACCATCCAGCTCAGAGAACACAACCACGTCAAAATCATCCATCTGAGCTAAAAATCTTCTCCATCATATCTAAATCTTACGAGCGGGATACGCTTCTCTCTGTTCGAAAGTGGGAAGACTTCGATAAAAGGCAAAGATCCACCAGAGAACAATTATTCTTTATCCATGAGTGCCTTCATCATCAAATCCTACCAACCAGTGTAAGATACAAACCACCAGTCAACTACCCAATGGGATGGAAATTGGCGGAACAATATGGAAGACGGATGGTCAAATTAATGATAACAGACGCACATTATCGGATCAACAAATATCAACAAATAATAGATGTCCAAAAAGTAAAACTAGAGAAAATCCTCAACCAAGATTACCTGTCAACGCTGATCACCGTAATTACATTGTCAAGTAGAAAACACAGAGAACAACGACGAAGAGTCCTCAAAACCAGGCTAGCCAAGATTAGAAGACAACAACCAGACAATACGCCTATAGACTGCGTAGTCAACCTATCAAAACAACCACTATCAAAAATGGAACAACAACTACTACAAAAAGGATTAAACTACAACACCGGAGATGCTTCGAAAGCTGATTTCTTCGCTGCCCTTGAATCATCACTCAAATCATCAAACTTGAACGAGGAAACACAGGAAGAAATACGCTAAACAATGGCCAAACAGAAAAAACAACACACAACTCAACTCTCAAGAACTAAAGGCCACCCTAGCTTTCAATATGCGGTTAGAGACTTCATAGGTCACACCAACTACAGCACTTACACAATTGTCTAGATGCACGGACTTTTCGACGACTTCAAACGGTTCACCTGCGAAGTGAAGTGTAGGTAACAACTCCTGTCAACCTTGAAACAATACTTCCCACTCCAGTCATGCAAAGCGCATACCACCCTTATAAATGCTGACTGCAAATTAATTAGGGGCCATCTTGGCAGTCTGCATGCTATCGCACGGTAAGACGATATAGTCTGGACACCTCAGATCAAAAAGTCCTTCAGAAAGTAGATCTACATCACCACTACGCATGTCTTCCATAGATGTCTCCAGAATGTCATCGAATAAAAAGGAAGACATTGGGCAACCTTGTCTAACTCCATTGTCGGCTGGGAACAGTGATGACAGCTGGTCGTATGCCTTAACTCTACCTGAGGCGTTTCTGTACAAGGTTCTTAGGATGTTAACAAACGCAAATACACCCCTCTCCTTCTCCCTTTAACACGGCTCCAAAGAGCACTTCTGTCCGACGAATCGAAGAATCAAGAAACACACAGACTGTTAGCCTGCAATACGAGTGACGGTGTTCCAACAATAAAGGGAGTGGGAATATATGGCCAGTGCATGCACGCCAGCCTAGTCTTCGCGAATCAGCTGCACACACGTTTTAACAGCCTGCACCGCAAGATACCAACTGTTATTTTAGACTCTAGTGAGAGCAAACTAGCACCCAATTTATTTTCAAACGTATTAGGCAAGTCCTACATAAAGATAGGCACGATTAAAAGCTTTATTCCACATTGGTGGAAGATTCACTTTCCCGTACATTCCTGGACGACCCACTGAAATCACCGCGGCGCATTCGGACCCCACAGTTATAAAGAGATGGGGGTAAGTTGTCTATGAAGCGTGTCTTGAAGAGTTCCAGTGCCTAGATCTCCCTTCGAATATCCGCTACTTTTGGTGGGGTACTGTAGTTGATTTTGGATGCTGCGTTCTGGGCAACAAGTTGTTGGTCAGCTTGCCAGCTGGCTCACAGTCTAGACAACACTGCTTCTTGATGCCAGTGGTTCAGACGAAATGAAAGTCTCTGATCACTACCAGATACAATCGCTAAATCAGTCTCACAAGTTTCCACCACCAGTATTCACCATCCTGACGTCAACACTGTCTCATCTTACGTGTGATAGCCTTGAGCGTATTGTTATACCCACTAACTACTAGAGTAGACCGATAGGCGTCAAGAAGCTGCAAGGCACTTGCAGAAAACTAGTGGTTTTAGCGCAGCAAGTGGCCACTCCACTCGCCATTCTCATAACGTCTAGTCAATTTCCACTTATATTTTACATAATTATAGCTCAAACAGACGAGAACATTTTGGCAATGTTGAGAATAAACTGTGGTCCAAACATCATACGTAAATGATACTGTATAACAGTGAGACATCCGGTGGGATTACACTCTACCATAGTGCCCAAGTTCGATTTCATAGAAACCTTGACAACTTCGAGAAATCATGTCCTGCCCACCCCATGTATGACCATCTGTTGACTCTTTGTGCACAACGCTTTTGCACAATGTCTTAACTAGCCAGAACTCCACCCAGATATTAAAATTTCGAGAAACTTGCGAGATCTTGAGGCCAAATTGATGTGAAAATTCCGAAGAATTTCGGCACTCTTCGCCAATAGCCCCAAATAGTTCCCCAAATACTGGTGTTTATTTGATTCTTTGATACGATCTGTACATGTACATGTACGTATATGCATATACGTACAAATGTTTCCCATGCGTCCCACCCTTATTCCACCAATTCGCTACATACTAGTTATTCACGTATAATTCCTGATAAGTGAAGTCCAAATAGACTTTAGTACCCGGGTACTAAATTTATGGCCATAACATAATACACATAAGTTAACAACACATTACGCCTACATGCCACACGTTATCTTCAATTTTGACATCGCAATAAACAAGGTCATCAACTCACCAGGCAATAAATTACGAGGAAAAAACAGTGCTAACGAGCAGATCAATATGCACACAGAACACGAGCTACCCATATCCCAAATCAAATTTCAGAAGGTGCGGGGACAGGGTCAAACAGTCGTTATCGTCCTCGTTAAAGTTTCTGTTACAACTTCCAGTGTTTTGAGACTCTGTTACAATGTGAACATATATGGAGTGGCTCCAAAGCGATTATGCGCTTTTGCGTTGTACTGTCAACAGACACACTCTCTGAGTTTGTAATTAAGCCGTCTTCTCTAGATAAGTTTGTTGAGTACGTAACAATGTGATTGTACACTTTTTGGTTACTTGTATAAATTCGAGATATTGTACATAATTTTTGTTTAAAACGCTTCTTGTTGAAATATACATAACTTCCGTGTGCAATTGAAAAATACACTCTGCTGTTGGAGACTTCGTCTTCTCCCTGGTCACTTCTGCTTACTTGCTCCACTCACACCGTGTTGTATACTTCGGATTTATTGTAGGAGCCTACTACTCTCAACCGAAGACATTTCTACAACCGGAACATAGCAGCTACAGCAGACGCTGTCCAAACAATTAACGTGCCTGTGGATTATATAATTAATTTGTAGCCGAGGACTTAGACGTTATATACAAGTAATCCTTTTTGTTGCTATAACTCGTCACTGTATTTTTGGTAATATATTGTGATTTAACACTCCACTGACTTGGATTATTACTTTTATACTTGGAATGTTAGTGAACTCTAATATTAGTCCCCTACAAGTTCTAGACGGCTGGACTTATTTATCACGTACTGTTGAAGTTCCGCTTGGAAATTTTTTTTCGCCAATAATTTTTAATAAAATTGTGTCATATGTTATCTAGATTGAGGGAAATTCCCAGTTTTTGGCTAGCTATGTTGGTGTCCGCGTCATGTGATCTGACTGCGACACACTTTTAGCATATGGATTGCAATGATTAGTGTTTCAGGCGGACTGTATCAAAATATAGGTGTAATGTGGAAGATAGGATAGTTAGAGGGTAATGCCATTTACACAAATCGTTTACTCCATGTAGAAGCTGCTCCTTTCGGCATAGTATCATCCAATGAAGACTTCGAAGTCTTGATGACATGATCATGTCACAGGGGCAAAGTTTAAGAATGGAGTCCCAAGAGATGCGAACGCACAATGTCCTTGAGCCGACCAATCAGAAAATAGGAGGAATTTTGCATAAAATTTAACGTATATTTACACAAAAATGCATGAAAAAAACATTAATCGGATTATATTTCTCTGATATGACTTAAAAATACGTTCCAGTTGCAATGAAGAGTATCAGTTGCTAATTTGGATTAGTTTCTGTAGATGTATTCACCAAGGAGACTGATGGTGTGCTGTTTTGGGAATGGTTCATCTCTCTTCTCTTGCTGTGTAGTCCTCTCCTCAGCCCTCGGTTTAGTTACTATGGTTCCAGTAAGAGCATTGGCGACTACATACAGGGGAAATTAGGATAACAAAAGAACTTGAAATAAACGAAAAATCTATTCCTAATCGCTACCCTAACCCTAAACCCTAACCATAACCCTAACCCTAAACCCTAACCCTAAACCTAACCATAACCCTAACCCTAAACCCTAACCATTGTGCCACCCACGCACACAATGACCGTAATTATTATTATTATTATTGTATCCTTTAGTTCCTAGAGGAACATAGGGCTTCAGCTGCGCACCTCCATTGACTTCGGTTTTCTGACAACTTTTTCACCCTGCTCCAGGTCTGTCCACATGCTTTCATCTCCTCCTCGCATGACCTCCTCCAAGTCACCCTTGGACGACCAACTCGCCGCCTCCCTTTCGGGTTCCACTCGAGGGCTTGTCTAGTGATGTCACTTGATGGTTTCCTCAGCGTATGGCCAATCCATCTCCATTTCTTTCTGCCTATTTGTTTCACAATCGGTTCCTGATTGGTTCGCTCCCAGAGATCCCTGTTGCTGATCTTTTCTGGCCATCTGATCTTGAGTATTGAGCGGAGACAGTTGTTAATGAAGGTTTGAAGTTTGTTTGAGATGCTCTTTATGACTCGCCAAGTCTCTGATCCGTATAGTAGCACTGACTTCACATTGGAGTTGAAAATCCGGATCTTATTTTTGATGCTGATTGCTGTTGACCTCCACACAGATTTGAGAGTAATGAAAGCTTGTCTTGCTTTTCCGATTCTGGCTTTGATGTCCTCGTCAGTTCCGCCTGTAGTTGAGACGATGCTTCCCAGGTAGGTGAAGGAGGTTGTTTCTTTCAGGTTCTTCCCATTTATGCTTATTGTGGTCTGTTGTTGTTGTTGATGTTGGCTAGGAATCTTCATCATCTCTGTTTTATCTATGTTCACGTGAAGTCCTATCTTTGATGCTTCTTCTGCCAACTTGTTACTTTTCACTTGCATATCTTCCAGTTTATGGGAAATCAGACATATATCATCGGCGAAATCCAGATCCTCCAAGTCTTTTGTGTCAGTCCATTTTATGCCTGTTCCCTCGTTGGTTGCCGTTGTCTGTCGCATTATCCAATCAATTGCAATCAGGAAGATCATTGGTGATAGTAGACAGCCTTGCCTCACTCCCGTCCTCACTTCGAAGGCTTCCGTAAGTTTCCCGTTGTGGATTACTTGGCATGCAGCATTGTCGTATAACTGTTGGATGAGGTGTATAATTGTCGATGGGACCCCGTAGTAGCGAAGTAGTTTCCAAATGACCTCTCGATCGACGCTGTCGAAGGCCTTTTCAAAGTCGATGAAGTTGAGATAGAGAGGTGACTGCCATTCCAAGCTTTGTTCAATGATGATCCGTAGAGTGGCGATTTGATCAATACATGATTTGTTTCTCCTGAATCCAGCCTGTTCCGGACGAAGTTTTTCATCTAGGGCTTGTTTGATTCTCTCCAGGATGATGCGACTTAGTATCTTGCTTGGAATGGACAGAAGCATAATTCCACGCCAGTTTTTACATTGACTTAAGTCTCCTTTCTTTGGAAGTTTGAATAAGTAACTGTTCTTCCAATCCTCGGGTACTTTGCCCTCTTTCCACACCTTCTCCAGTAGTGGTGTCATCAAGTCCGCTGTTGTCTCTGGGTCTATTTTCAAAGCCTCTGCTGGGATTCCATCTGGTCCCGGTGTTTTCCCAGTTTTAAGCATCTTGATTGCATTCAGGACTTCTGATTTCGTCGGGGGGTCAGTGTTCACTGGTAGTTCTGCTTCCGTTGTTGGTATTGCTGGACGTGTTGTAGGTGGCGGACGATTTAGAAGTCTTTTGAAGTGTTCAACCCAGTGCTTTCTCTGTTCCACCTCTTTGGTGATTGACTTTCCATTGTCGTCCTTTATTGGCTTAATCTGTGTCGAACGTTTGCCCGAAAGGTTCCTAGTTGTTTGGTAGAGTGTGGCGAGGTCTCCTTTGCCTGCAGCTTGTTCTGCTTCGTTTGCCATGGTTTCATAATATTTTCTTTTGTCTTCCCTGGCACTTTTCTTCACTCTTTTGTTCAGTGTATTGTAGCTTGCATTCAGCTCCTGTTTTTGTTGCTCGTCGTGCACTGGATAATCTTTTGCTTCACTGTCCTTCTCTCTTCTATTAGTTTCCAAGTGTCCGTAGTGAGCCACTGTTTGTCCTGTCTCTTTTTTCTGCCTAGAATTTCTATGCAGGTTTGGCTCCACACCGTTTTCAAGTTGTTCCAGTGCTTTTCAACGCCGACCTCTTCGCTAGTGTTGATTTGTGTCTCGGCTTTGTCCTTTATGCTTGCAATGAAGATGTCCTTTGTAGCCTGGTCCTTCAGCTTTTGAGTGTTGAACTTGGCTTGTGGTCTATCTGCAGCTCCTGATTCCCTGAAAGCTTTTAATTTGATTTGGATTGTCCCTTGTACGAGATAGTGGTCTGAGCCAACGTCTGCTCCTCTTCTTGCTTTTGTGTCCAGTAGGCTGCGCCTCCACTTCCTTGAGATTGAGATGAAGTCGATTTGGTTTTTGGTTTGCCCGTCTGGTGACACCCATGTAGCCTTGTGGATATCTTTGTGCTTGTATACACTGCCACCAATCACCAGTTCGTTGAAGGCGCAGAAGTCGGCGAAGAGTTCTCCGTTTTCATTCATTTCTCCTAGAGCTTCTCTACCCATGATGAGTTCCCTTCCCGTATTGTCTGGTCCCAGTTTGGCGTTCATGTCTCCCATTAGTATTTTCATGTCGCCAGCTGGAGTATTGTCCATTGTTGCCTGTAGTTGCCTGTAGAATTCTTCTTTCTTCTCGAGGTCTGCGTTGTTTGTGGGTGCATAACATTGTATGATTGACACTTTCCTTCCTTTGGAGTTGAACCTGGCGGTCATTATCCTGGACGAAATCGCCTCCCATTGTATCAGGGCTTTCGTTGCCGTTGGTGACATCATGATAGCCACGCCCTCGGTGTGCGTGTGGTTATCTTCTGGGTGACCGGAGTAGATCACTGACTCACCTGTTGACAATTTGGTGAGTCCACTCCCATTCCATCTGCTCTCACATATTCCCAGCACTTGTATTCCGTATCTTTTCATCTCGTTGGCGATCTGGGCAGCTTTCCAGTCTCGTACATAGTTCGGACGTTCCATGTTCCTACACAGACTTTTTCTTTTGGTGCAAGGAGGTTCAACATACTGAAGTTTCTTTAGCAATTTTTGTTTACAGGGTGGGGTTGCTAGCCTCACGCCTGAGAAAAGAATGATTACATTACATTACATTACAATGACCGTAACCCTAACCCTAACCACAATATTCGCCTTAACCCCCATCCTAACCCTAACGAGATGTTAGCACATTGTCCAAACAGTAATAAAAGTGTTATCTGGGTGATACTTGCTCCTTATTTGATGAATAGGGTTGATACTTCAGCTATGATAATGACAGGAACCGTTAGCCAACGACTAGTATGCGTTCAAGGTCATTTGAGCGTTGAAGGTTTTGGGACGCTATTCTTAAACTTCGCCAAAATTACAGTGTGGAATCAAGCTGTAAATCAAAAAAACCAAAAAAAACAGCTACGGAACTGCAATCCAACATGGCTGACTAACATGGACGAAAATGACCTTCGAGCGTCTCACTCCACCGATGACCTTGATAAGTTACGGATAATTTCAGCCTTCTAGACCTGTTTCCTTGGATAAACAAATCTCTTTAATTTGCATTCTGTCGTGAGCACTTACAGTTAGGTGGAGTATTGAATTATTAGATAACTAGGCAAATTGCGTTAATTGAGGGCTTGTAAAGTGCAGCTTAATAACAGCACTGTGAGTACTTTACAACCGGTGAACCCAAATCTCATTCGCTGCCTCGTCTTAAGCCTAATTTGTCAGTAGTCTAGCTTTTGGTGTTCAGATAGAAATATAGTCGTGTTGTTCGTCACTTCGTCTTCTTACTGACTCGTACTCTCCTCTTGCTCAGCCTACACCCGTGTCGTACTCTCTGAAATTTCCAGGAATATCTCATCCACCTCCAAAGATTTTTCTACAACCAGTAAACTACTTCTACCAGAAGACAAGACACAGTGAGTGAAACAGATCAGTATATGGCATGGACTGGAAACTTTGTTGCGAATACAGTATGCTAAGTTTCCAAACGGTTCTCCATTGTTACCTGGCCCCACACATACACGATGTGACATCATCTTCGAGAGGCTCAAGTGTATTCAGTAAGCTTGATCTACTACCTGCCTATTGCCAGATTGCTGAACACCCCGACGATGTCCTGAAGAATGCAATCACTAACCCAGTCGGTCTTCATGAGTTCCTTCGTATGCCTTCCGGCCTACGCAACGCAGCACAGATGAATCAACGTTTAATTCATGATGTTTTGCTGAGATCAGACTTTGCTAATGCCTGTCTAGACGATATTCCGATAGTAAGCCCAGACGAAGAGACTCATTGTGCTCAAGAAGTTTTTCATCGATCCTCTAAACACTAGATAACAGTTAACCTAGCCAAATGTCAGACCGGTGTTCAATTCCTGACGTTCCTAGGTCATGTTATTGACAAACACGGAATTCATCCGTTACCTGAACAGGTACAAGCGATTCAAAATTATACAGTGCCGACACCCCCGAAATTACTAGGCACACTGCTCGCATGGTGAGTAGTAAGAATAATGTATATTTTCATATAAACATATGCATTTACATGAGAATGCATGCCATTTTTACAGGCACGATCAAGTATGATATAATATCAAATCGTAGATTGTCTACAAGTTAATAATGTTTCAACAGTTAAATATTTGATATATATATATAAATACACTCATTGTCTGAACCAGGCCCTACAGTTGTTGAATTGTACAGTTGTCCTCCAGGTTGAGCGGGAAAATCGACTTCGTTTCGCTTTCAACCCGTGTTTGTTGTCACACGATAACCAACCAATATTCAGGTAAGTACAACGTTTACAAGGGATTGAAAGCTGTTTTGGAAAAGTCAAAGTGCTAAGGTGGATCAATAAAGTGCAATGAAATAGGTAAGTGCGAGTATCATTAATAAATGCATTTATAGAGGAAAATCCCTAGGCTGACAACGTTCATTTGCAATGTATAATGCTACGCATATATCTCGTACTATCATGATGTTCACTTTTGGTTTTAATACATTTATCCTCAGCTCGGTTTTTATTTCCTTGATTTATCACGTTACAGATGCGATACGGTTGTCGGGGAAAATCAATTTCCTCAAAGTGGGGGTAATGCATTGGGGTCTGTAGTAATAAAGCTAGTTCAGCAGCCTGTCAGCCAAGTCTCATAAACAGTTGATGCCCAGCTCTTGCTACGCTCGGGCCCACGCTGTTCCTTGAAGTTTTCAGAAACGCTTAGTTATAACGGACGAAGAGACCAAAACACCGATTGGCCGCTTGATATTTCTTTATTGTTACACCAACATATAAAAAGAATAAGTGAACTAAGGTCTGAAAACAAATATTACAATAATAAATCATTGTATTACTTCTGGAGCAGGTTGAAAAAGTTGTCAGAAAACCGAAGTCAATGGAGGTGCGCAGCTGAAGCCCTATGTTCCTCTAGGAACTAAAGGATACAATAATAATAATAATTACTTCTGACGATGTTTAACTCTTCTTTCTGAACAGCGACCGACGAGACGATGACTGTCGTATTGATGCCTCCGCGAAAATTCGGGAAGTGGGTTTTGAGCAAACAACCATGAATTGATCGTTCAATCCTCGAATACATTGACACTCCCCGGCAAAATACGGATCCAACCCTGTTTTCCTTCACGACCAATACACGTTGACTTGGATGCCATTGCGAGATCCTGGGTCACGCGGACAGAGCTGAAATGGAAAACAAACAGAAAAGCCAACACACCACAAGCATACCCACAGAACAATCTCACACATCAATGACGACCTGCGCCTCCAGACAGAGACCTCCTCTTGACATCTTGCAACGCAATCGCCACTTACTAGAATGACTCTTGCAGAATGCAAAGTGACCATGGCAGCACCTCACGATACTCTACGCACATCATTTTATCTACTCATTACCAATTACCACTGAGATCGCTTGTCACTCATTCTGCCTCAGTTCTAGTGGCGGTGACGCATGCGAGCCTCAGTCGTTTACACTCTTTCTCCCCGGCGTGTCGGACCGCAGCTAACAATTATCTCCGTGTGCATTTCATTCTCACCAATAGCCTAGCCTCCCCGGCGTATACGACCCATCTGCTGTCCTTAACATCAATCAATTCATTCACGGATGTAGAAGACTCGAAACAACTTCAGAAATAATCACGACGAAAATTTTAACAAAATTACGCAATAACATCAAGGTACGAAAACAACAAGTAAACACAATGAATCCAAAAAACACCAATTGATATGACACACCACACGTATATACAAATAGTACAAACAACCTCGCCGATCATGTCTTGGTGGAATTCCTTTGAAGAATTGGAGGACTTACACCAGTACGCCTGCAACCCTTCTCAGGTTGACGATTGTAAGTTGTGGAATGTACGGACACAAACAAGATTAACCAACAATTACAATAATTGGAACTCACACAATTATTTAACACAAACATATGTACAATCAATACATCAAATGTTGTGGATTCTGGCACGGCAAACTACCCTTGAAGAACTGTAGGACTTACAGCAGTATGCCTACATTCCTTCTCAGGTTGATGATACAAGTGGAAGTCGTCCGGACACAAACAGAATTACCAACAGATAGATGAAAGATGATATCAATTCAGTATATGCAATATGAACATATGTACAAAATCACACACCGAGCACATTGGACTGCTCATTGATGCGCTACCCTTTGGAGAATTGTAGGACTTACAGCAGTACGCCTACAACCCTTCTCAGGGTGACGCTCTAGGTTGGAAAATCGTCGCAGAGTTCATTTGCTTACTTCCCTCTAACAGCTATATCCTCAAATCTGAACGGCAACACGCCCATGTCATTGTATCGCAGAATATACATGACCAACAAACACACGACATATCTCATCAATCAAGTGTAGAAACAGAGTAATTTACACCAAAGATAATAACATTCAAATAGTAACTTGAAACTAGAAATGCCTTTATTCATGCAAGTCAATTTAACAATTACTCTCTCCTTTACACTTGGCTTATCCTCACTAAACTGACCATTGATATTCGTCCTTTCAAACGAACTGATACTATCATAGTCATTGCACAAGATACTTGAGTTCATGGGTGTCTGTTTCATTGTGGATGACAGCACCAACGACGACTGATTGATATCAGTTGATGAAGTTAGCAGTGGATCAAAAGCTGTTGTTGCTCGACTTTCAGAAGTTTGTCTACCTGCAAGACCACCACCACTGCTGTCTTTTACTATCAGATCTGCTTAAGGACTAGAATCTGATGATAGGTGGGCTACATGATCAATTACACTGACGGTCTCACAAATCATTAAAGGTTTTATACCTTCACTCTGACTAGTTATACTTTGTAAGCTTCTATGGTCAAAACTGCACTCTGAAGCAGCAACTCTATTCTGTGACACTCTATTCAACAATGGCTTACCAGTTGCAACTACAGACTTCTTCACCGCACCGTTATCGTCACACAATTCGGAGTCAGGCCTGGAGTTTACATTTAGCTTATCACTGAACTTGCTCACTGGTTCACAGTTCACCTTTGTATGCACCTCTTGCAAACGTCTAAATCACAAACGTGTTTGTCTTGCATCTTGTAACTTATCTGTTGAGCATGTACTACGAAACCTGTTGCACTCATTAAGTTTATATGCATTACTAGACATCATGGTGCCTTCTCGATATCCACCTCTCTGAGGCCTATTCGTCATCAATGATTGCGTTTTACCCTCAGACTGCTCTAATCTAAGGGTGAGATTCAATATACTGGCGAACTTGCTCATAGATTGATTGACACTATCTTTTACCAGTTTCAGGATATCATCAAATTTTGGCTCGATACCCTCATCCTCCATACGGGAGCTCATCTTCACCC